TACTGTTTATATACTATTAAGAGAAAATAATTTATTAATACAAATATCAATAATTAAATGAGATTTGATCTCTTATTTCATTATTTCAACTTTTTTGAAATTTATTTTAAATATCATGCACACTGTGATTTAAAAAAATATATTAAATTTAAGTAATAATTTTAAAAATGAATTGAAAAAAATCTTATTTTCAAAATTGAAGATCAATGAAAGTTTTCATCAAAATGACATAGTATTGGATGTAATTTAGAAATAAATGATAGATACATATATATGATTTGCAGAACATAATTTAACTTTTTCCCCCTTATTTAATTAATAACGTTATTTTTAAAGAGATGAGTGATTTTTAAAAATTAAAGAAAAGATGTGTGTTATTCTTAAATTTGAACATCATGTGTTGGTATTTTTCAAGATAAGTAACAAAAAACACATTTACGCTAATTAGTTTATAATTTATAATAACCTAAACATATAATTATATATAGGTAATATAAGTCATACCTCACACACTTTGATTTATATTTATCTTATTTATATTTTGAAAACACCCATATAATAATGAAAACATTATATAGTGCATTGTTGTGTGTATTGATGCGATTAGGATTGGTTGAATTTGAAAAATAATTGGCTTAAATTTTATTTAATAATTTCAGACGTGGGAAACTCTGCCAGAAATTTCAGATGGATTTTAATCCGTGGGAAACTTCATCAAAAATTTTAGACGGATTTAAATCCGTCGAAAATTCCGTCGGAAATTTCAGACGGATATAAATCCATGGGAAATTCCGTCGGAAATTTCCCACGGATATAAATCCGTCGGAAATTCCGTCGGAAATTCCTTCATGTAAAAATCCGTGGGAAATTCCGTCGGAAATTTGACTTTTTCTTGTAGTGTATCAACTTACATCTTGACAACAAAAACATCATCATACATTATCTCCACTCAATGCATAATGAGTTATCATCATACGACATTCATCATATTATTGAATCATCATTCTATAAATATTAATCAACTCTCAACATCGCATTTCATCAAACAACTCATGCTCGATGTCATTCTCTGCGTGCCCAACACTATTAAGATAAGGAGTTTTTTTTGTTTTACCCATGTTCGATACCAATCTACTTGCATCTAGTGTGGGTAAGCTGAGAGTCTCTTAGTTTTTCACACTTAACATTAGCAAAATTCACGTTCAATCTCATTTTAGGTAGAGTCTCTGCTTGACTCACACTCAACATCACTCCATTGATGTTTAGTGCCAATTCAAATAGGGACGATTCCCTTTCCTCACGCTCAACACCTTTCAACTCACGTTTCGTGTGACTAAGTAAAAGATAGTTCTCTCTCCCTAAGTCTAATACCACTAATCCTACGTCTGGCGTCATCGAAGTTAAGAACACTTGATTTGAGTCGCATTTGTGTCATGAAGACATGTCTGACGTGGTGAAGAAGTCTATACTTGGTAGAACCTTCATTTGGCTTAATCAACCTTAGTAAAATCCCAACATGCAAAACAATATGCAACATATAGAACTCATTTTCATCATCGTAAACAACATGCACTCATTAAACTTCAAGATCACCATACTCCACATTAAGACACCTTTCATAAACCCAACTCAGGTAACTCAACATTTCAACAAGAATCCACTCAAACAACCAGTGATGAATATAAGTAACCATTAAGCACCACAATTCATCAATAATCAAACACAAAACTTCCCTTACTTATAGTTGCTCAAAAGAGAAGAAAAGAGAAAAGGAAGAAGGAAGCGATATATGCACGGTTCTGTCTTGGTATTCTCAACTCAACAAGCTTTGAATCACTAATCTACCAACTTTGATCAATTGTAAGAAGAGTTTGGGAAGAATCAGAGGATTGAGGGAACAAAAGATTTCTCTAGCTCCAAAGACTTTCTCTCTAGTTTATCTGTAGTTTTTCTTAAAACATGAATTTATAATGTTCAAGTCTTAAGAAGAATCTTATATACCTTTGTTTTAACTCTAACGAAAACTAACTCATAAACAACTTAACTCTCAAGAGTCCCTTAACTCTCGAGCTTTAAAAATAAAAGAAATAACAAGCAAAATAACAATTAATCATATAAATCATACAATTAATAAAATAAGTAAAAATATACATTATTATTCGAATACCTAATTCGGCCTATCAATTTTTTGTGGATAAACAATTTAACTTGTAACCTCTTTTATCATTTCTACTCAATTGGTCGAACATAGTATATGAGTATATGAGTTTTAATGTTATAAAGTCCCTTGTAATTTGTGTTCGATTCTATTAGTTAAAAAATAATTGCCATGCTTTCTTAAAGATATTTAGATGTAACCTAGATTAATTGTATTGAACTTTTTATTATAATAATTTAAAGTAAAAATAAGTTAGAAAAAAAGTCTAATTTCAATTAATAGAGAAAACGTAGGCTATAATTTACTGATGCAATCAATCACTTTCTTCTTAGCCTAATTAAAGATTTTAGTTTAAAAATTTATGGACAGTTCATTTCTTATCAGTGAAAAAATAACTAATTCGGCAAATACTTTGTAGATTGGTTTCTCGTATAATTGAGCTAGAATGTTGATATTTTTTCTATTCATTCAAATTCTTAACAAGGATTTTCTATGGTGTAAAAAAAACAAGATTTTTCTAAATTAGCTGTACTAAAAATTGACGAAAAAGACACTTTTAACGTTGTTTTTTTAATACCTAACTAACCATTATGAGCTTGGGAAAAGTGTTTTTATCACTTAAATATTAGATTAGGAATTAGAATGAGGTATTTAGCAATTAGCACTCTAAAAGAGAGGACTTTAGATTTTGACTTCGCGCCGGTAACTGATAATATCGTCACTTATGGCTAACACAAGTTTTAAATTAAAAATAACAAAAGTCAATTTATCACACTATACTAGCTTTCTAGTGTGAGGCATATTCTCAGTTATGACTGAACTTCTTACTTCCTGTGATCGATGTAGAGCCTTTGATAAATTTATTTCCAAGGCCATACATTAAAATTATGTCATTGAAATTTTTTGCCAATTGCCATAGAAGGGGTAAGGTAACTAATTAGGTAAGCATATATTTCGTAATAGAAAGCAAATCACTTCAAAAAAATTTGAATTTTAGTCAGTTCTAAATTTCTGAAAGCTTCATCATGCATAAGACAATCACCAAGTAGGTGTCAATATAGGATGAAGACTTCTTCACACCTATTCTTTGAGTGCTCTTTTACATATCATGTTTGGCTGTTTTTCTTGGAATGGTGTGGTTTCACTTTTGTGTTGTCCAATAGTTTTATTGCTCATTTTGATCAATTTCTTGAGTTGCCTCTTTGTCCTTCTAAAATGAGGTATATATGACATGTGATCTGGTTGACTGTAATTTGGAGTATTTGACTAGCAAGAAATGTTCTTATTTTTCCTGACAAGGTGCTATCTACTTTAGATATGCTTGAAATGGTAAAACTGCGCACTTGAAAATAGTTAAAAGCGAGAGATAATTATTTTTCATACTCATTTTCTTCTTGGGCTGAGTCACCTTTCGTATGCCTTAATTTTTATTGTGATATTTGATGGTGATTATTGCTATCTGACTGTGTAATTCTAACTAAGTTGCAGCAATGCTTTTGAAAATGGTGATTGGTTTCACTTTGTAGTTGATAGTCTTTTTTTGGATTGCTAGTTTGGTTGTTCCACCTATTGGTGTAAGGTTTTTTATTATATGATGATTGCAAATTGGTTTTAGGAGGTATGTATTTATTATGTTATTTTCTTTAAATATCTCTTGATGTCAGAGATCCACTACTTACTTTGGTTATATTGTGTACATGGGTTGAAGTACCCCTTGTATTCCCTCTTATTTAATTCAATTTTGCTTAAAAAAAAAAAGACAATCACCAATACATCTCATTAATAGACATAAATTAAAATTAAAGAAATTTAATTAATACATTTTCATCATAAATTTTAATAAAAAATTATTTATTTTCTATCAATATATATTATATTAAAAAATTAAAGGGATACATAGTACTTAAGATATTTCATTATAAAGTTTTTTTTTTTCCCACAAAAAGTTAGAAAAAAGGTGACAAATAGAAGATACTGCAACTTTTGTAATTGACGGTAAAGGACACATTAACCTAAATAAATGAATTCATTTACTGGTACTATCATTTTAGCCAAGCAAAACTTAATGATGAAAGTTAAATACTACAGTACTTTGTATGTTTCCACCTTTTCTAAATTAATTCAATACATGGATGAGGATGCTGCTCTTCCATTCTCTATTCACCAACAGTTATTAACGCTGAAAAAAAAGGCAGAAGTGCCTTTTCTTGTAGGCAAAATAAACCCCAATAAAATAAATAAATAAATTGGAAAGGCCAAAAATATATATAAGTACAAGGAAGAAAGAACAAAAAAAAAAAACAAAGTTCAAGTATTTTTATGGTCTCAATAAGTACTAAATATTTTAAATTTATTTACACATAATGTATATTGTCATTATTATCTTTATAAAACTGTAAAATTATTACGAAATTATCTTTAAGTACATGCATAAATAAATAAAAAAATCCAGTGATAGTCTAAATTAATTTACATTTTTACCCAGTGACAAATTATTTAATATAAATTATTGGTTTTTATAATAAATACATAAATAAAAAGTTATATCAACTATGATACCTTAATTGATATTATAAAATTATTTTACGTTATTTATATATAATTATTAACATAAAAAAAAACTAAAAACTATTTATTGAAAAAACATTTTTGAGTTTAAAGGTGATATTTTTTTTGACACCTGACAATTTTTTTTTACAATTTAAAAAAGTAATACTATAAGAAGAAGAAGGATGATTAAAAAAAAAGAAGGAGGAGAATGAAAAAAAAGAAGTAAATTAAAAGGGTTTTAAAATATTAAGGCGAAAGGAAATAAAATGGAAGAAATGGTGAGAGAAAAGAAAATTGTCCCCTGGAGAGGAAAGTGAAGAAGGTGTTTGTGAATAATTTGAAAAGGGAAAAGCATTGAAAACAACATCAGCAAACAGAGTCTTCCCCACACCATCCTCTCCCCACAAGAGAATTAGCCCGTCCATGTTCCTCTACCACCGAACACACCCCGCCACCACCTCTCGCTAACGTGCGCCCCTTCCCATACCCTGCGCCCTTCTTTTTCCTTCCCCCTCCCTTCATAACCGTCTCTCTCTCCCCTCTCTCCCACTCAGATTCGCAGGATCGGAGCGGTTCCGGCGTCGTGGGCGTTAGGGTTAGGGTTTCCGAGAGATGTGGTATGCTCCTGGCATTCATGAATCTTTTCTCGCTGTGTTGGAAGCCCTTTGGCCGCGATGCTGATCGAATCGACTCTATCGGAGTCATCGGAAGCAGCTTCGGCGCCAAGGACGGCTTGCTCTGGTTCCGCGACGTCGGAAAATATGCCTCCGGCGATTTCTCCATGGCCGTCGTTCAGGCCAACCAGGTCCTCGAAGACCAGAGCCAGATCGAGTCTGGTCCTCTCGGCACCTTCATCGGCATTTACGACGGTCACGGAGGCCCCGACGCCTCCCGCTACGTTTGCGATCACTTGTTTCGCCATTTTCAAGGTTCTTCATTCCCAACCCCTCACTTTCTCTCTCTATACACACACACACACACACACATACATGCTTTCGCTGCTTTATTTATCTTCACCGCTTGTTGTGGATTTAATTTATTGCGGCCACGCTTTTAGCTTCGTAGTTTACTCACACTCGTGAATCACGAGTAGCAGCAGTAGTAACTGTTATCAGTGCCTTTCATCAATTCGCTTTTCGTGAACCTTTTTCTCGAACTACTGTTTGTTTATTTATTTATATTAATTGGTCTTTTGAGTCTCAGACTTTCAGTACAGTTGAACATGCCAGGGCAATTGGTAGATACTGCTCCTCACAGTTTGTACAATTTCGTTTTTGTTTTTTCCTCTTTTTTTTTTTTTTTTTTTTTTTTTTTTTTGTTCCTTTTTTTT